GGGCCATGAATTGGTCCTGATGGTCCAGGTTGTCAAAGTCCCATCCAGTCGCATAGGAGAATTGTCGCGCTTCCATTCCAAGGGCCTCAGCAAGTTGCGAAGTTCGAGCTGTGCCGCAGTAGACTTCCCACAACACTCGAGGTCGATCTGGTCGATGTAGCTCCTTGGTGACGAAGGCTGACAAATCATTCAGGTGGGTGCGAAGGTGCACATCCATAGTTTTCAACTCTTGCTTGAGGGTGCACACACCAGGTTTCAGCTCCTTTGTCACAAGCTCTTCATGAGCGGTGAAGCCATGTTCCGCCTCGAGGAAATCCTTCAGGTGGAAGCCATCTGTTGCAGCAACTTCAGGCTCGGCTGTGCGCAGTTCATAGTCAGGCTGACTAACGTCGTAGTTGACGGTGTCGTGCTCAGCGGTCAGGGACCAAAGATATTCGCCTTGGCGTCCGAGCGTGGCATCTGTCCAGGTGGATGTGCCAACGCGCAACCGCTTTTGAGCGAAGTCCATTGTGATGCCCAACGCCTCGATGATCGGGCGTCCACAAAGCATGGGAGTGCCTCCAGGAAGCAGGAAGACCTCGATGGTGCCATACTTTCCATCGATGAAGGTCGGGAGGTGAGCGGACCAGTCCGACCACAGGGATGCATCACCGCCGAATTGGAAGCGGCGTCGGCCTTTGCTCATGCGAATGCTCTCAACTGGGAAGTCGATGGACTTGAGGTGGTCCAGGTAGCGCTTGAATGGGCCATAGCCACTGAGAAATGCACTTGCTCCTGGGTCAAGCATCACACAGTCCGGTCTCTCGGAACCATTGCTGTCCTGGAAGATGAGCATCGCAGACTCGTCAGGCTTGAAGGTGGTCTGCAAGGCCATACCCTCTGTGGTAGAAGGAGCCGGTCGCTTCTGACCAGATTTCATGGAGCCGGAGGCATTCTGAGGGCAGTTAGCTGCCCAGTGGCCAGGCTGGCCACATCGCAAGCAAGTCATCGCAGCTTTTGCTCTTGCCCGGGGATCAACTGGCCGGTTGTCCGTGTTGGAGTAGCGGATGTTGGCCTTTGATTTGGACTTGCCAGATTTAGAACTCCCCTTTCCTTTGCCCTTCGCCCTCCATGATGGTGGAGAGGTAGTCGAGGATGTGGGCGAATGACCTCCTTGTTGATCAGTGAGGGCAACAATCGGCAAGTAGCCGCGGGACATCTTGAGCTCCTGAAATCTCTTTCGAGCGTCGGTGTACGAGGCGAAGGCCATGTCGTACTCCTCTGCCAGTTCATGTGGCGAAGTCGCGGAGGTGTCATCGTCGGGCCATGGTTCATCGCCATGGTAGACGGCGTCTTCATCGAATTCATAGGCCTCGTCCGGGTCATGGGTTGGGTCCTCATGCCAATCTTCACCTTCATAGTAGCCGGACTCCCAGTGGTCATAGTCATCATCTTCACCCTCATAGTCCTCTGCTGCCGCATAGGCTCTGTTCTTCCACTGGGGACTGAAGCCAAAACGTCGATTTCTCTCGGTGTTCCATCCTCCACCTTTGAAATCTTGGCCCAGGATGAGGTACATGGCTTCGATCACCTCGTTCTTCCCAAGGCTGGGAGCGCGCAGGGTGATCATTTGCCTTTGCTCTCGGCTGAGAGAGGCTCGGCGTAGAAGATGCCATCCTTGTACCTGAGAGGGCAACTCAACCTTGTGCTGTTGCAGCTTCCGATACGCCTCCTCATGATCTGTCACGTACAGTAACAGAGTTTGGCCGGCAGGCCTCTGGAGGAGGTTGAAGTAGTTCTCAAAGTCGGAGGGAAGCTGCACGCGGGAGTCATAGGCAAAGTTGGCGTCCAGGGTGGTGATCAGACGCGTGAAGGCGTCTTCTTTCTCCAGCTCCTCGATGGACCACTCCTGAAACAAACGCCATGTCACACCAGTGAACGATCCCACGATGTTCAACACACTCTCGTTGCTCCTCTTCGAAATGGCCATCTTTCGATGGTACAAGTGGATCCTCTGTCGCCACTCTTTGTAATCGGCCGGCTGGCCGGAAAACAAAGGCACATAGCTGTCTCGAAGATCAGCGTAGCTCGTGCCCTCTTTCGAACTCGAGGCAGGTGCAGCCTGGGTCTGTTTTGTGGGCTTGCCCATGATGGAGGCGACAGTGAGGTAGGGCTCCACAAGGTCGTGCTGGATGGCCTCAAAGCCGTGGATATAGAGAAGTGCAAATGCCAGCAACCAAAACCAAGATAGAGCTCGTTCTGCCGATCGTGACCCGGGTCTTATGCAGGACCTCGTGCTCGTTCTCGCGTAGCACATGCAGAGCCCCTGGATGGGGCTCCGCTACCAATGTGGAAAACCAGGTGGTAGCAAACGAAGTCCACCACCAACGAACGCGCCGCGCCGACGCGCGGGAGACAAAGTCGCCGAGGCGACCGCACCGCAGGCTTTTCAAACTCTCGAGCCCACCCGTCTCGGTGGAGCGAAGTTTCGCGTTTCATGTTGCATGGCATGCAACTCACAGTAGGGATGAAACCATCGACCACGTCAGACCAGACTCATCCTATACATACACTTAGATTGATGCTCGCAAGAGCTAAATCAGTTGTGATAGCCCACTCTAGTGATTACACTACCAGTGCAGTTAGACCTTGACAGGCGAAACCCAAGGGATCCTGGGGGGCCTTAAACGGAAGTGAGGCCAAAAGCTCAAGTGCAAGTCTTCAGAGAAACCCAAAGGATCCTGGGGGTCTTAAACGGAAGCGAGGCCAAAAGCGCAAGTGCAAGTTTGCCCAAGGAACGCCTAAAAATTTGGTGCAGGTACGCCCCCTGCTTGGTTAGTTGAATATTGATAGGGGCATGAATTACTGTGCAATGGTGAGTGTCCTTTGGTACAGGTGTGGACACACACACACACAGGGCCGTAAGTCGGCGCTCGCTCTTTTTGTGGGAAGAGGGTGTGGGAGTGGATGGACTAAACGAGCCTGGATGCCGACCTAACAAGCCTGAAGGAAAGTCCAAGCAAACGAAAAAGGCAAGGAACGAAAGGTGCGAGGGGTGGGTGGGCGGGGGTGTGGGGGGTCATTGGGGGTCATTGCCCGAAGGCGTTGACGAGTTGAATATTAATAGGAGCATGAATTACCGTGCAATGGTGAGTGTCCTTTGGTACAGGTGTGGACGCACACGCACACACATGCGCGCGCTCTCAGTGAGTGGGGTCGGCGATATTATATTGATATAAGTGATATAGGTCATGAATTGAATTACTATAGTAGATAGCTAGCAGTTAGAATATTGGCGACAGCAATACAAAAACCATAACTAGTCAAGGACTTTTGGGATACTTCTATGCATCACTATATTCTAACTGCAAACGCACATCATAGAATGCGTGTATCAGTTCAAGATTAACCAGATCAAAATCAGCCGTAAATATATATGATAGAGGTCCTTTAGGTAGGATTTTATTAGTGTATATCTAGGGCAGTTATGTCAAAAACAACTGCACACACAATCACATATAGATCTAATCATATCTAAATGAAATATTTTGGAAAAAGGGCGTCCAATTAAACAGTTAAATGTTTTATTATTGAGTTAGTTGATTGCAAAACAACAGGAAGTCCAATTAAAGATGTAATTAAATGCTATGGGGGGCCAACAAAGAATGATATAAACCACCAGATTTTTCGGCGAGGCGCAGTTTTAGTAGTTTTGCACAATTTTTGATAATTATTGATGTTGGGCTGAGACAGTGTAGAATGGCTGCTGTCGGAGGTCTAAATTTAAATACTTCAATTATCTTCGACTTATCGGTTCTATATATTGACTGCTGGTCAGTCAACCTATTTAACGGAAAACAAAAGGAAATCCAGTTGAAGGGTTAGACAATTGAATATCTAATTAAGTTTTCAGAACAAAAGGAAGGAAATCACATTTGGTAATTATATGCTTAATTTATTATCCAACAACTTAACGTGAAACAAGAAGCACATCCACATAAGTAATTAAGTAGTTATAGAAACTCAAGGCAATCCAATTAAACAGTTTAATATTTAACGGTTTAGCTATTCATTGGACAGCGAAAGGAAATCATAGGAAATCCAAGCACGCGTTATAGTAATTAAATGTGTTATCATTCAATTCGACAACAAAAGGAAATCAAGTTAAATATCATGTGTGCATTGCCCTTTTTGATTGTTAATTGTTTTGGAAAAGTAAAAGGACATCTTGAATGGTATTTGGTTTGTTTAATCAATTAAACCCATTTGACTAATTACGTTCTATTGAGTAAGTTGTTCATAGAAAACAAAAGGAAACCGTGCTTTCGTGCATGCTATATTGTATATGTGCGAGTGATGTGTTTTCAGCATTCTATGCCGCAATCTGATTTTCTGAATGTCACTAACTTGAGCGGACTTGAGGGAATTCTATTTGCAAACAATCGTTTCTTTATATTCTACTGGCTAGCTATCTACTATATATTGTTCTTCATATAACGGCCACTCCTGCCCAACTTGACATTGCATCATTGTGATTTCAGGCGTGTGGAAGAGCTGATTTTTAAAAATAATCGTCTCGGTGGTTGAATGCTCCCATCTACTCCAAAATAATGTTGATTCTGAGATGGGTGTGGCGATGTTGTGAAGAAGGCCCGTTCTTCGGTTGACATGAGACTTGAGTTCACGCGGCCAACCCCTAGTGCTCATAGGTTCAACACCCGCCGGCCCAAATAATAACACGTGATGTGAAGCACACACCAAGTGTATGAGCACCCGTAGTTGCCCTGCCGAGGACACTGAAGTCAATGACATCACATACGTCATATGTTTCATGTTTGGTTTGAATGTAGAAGTGGTGAAAATTGGAAATAACACCCAGTAGAATCAACGTAGAACTTGCAGGACATTGTAGGAACAAATGAGATGTTGCTTGGTTTGTGGTACAGCCTGGGTTAATATCATCAGTCCAATCACCACCCTAGGCACTGGCAGTCCCTCATGCCTCAGTCCAAACCGCTCAGGCCTGGCAGCTGCTAGAAGATGTGCGGAAGCAGAGGATTCTTGACCGCGTTGGTCAGTTGGTGTTGAGGGAGGCTGAGTTTGGCCTGGCCATGACAGCTGCGGAGCTGGATAAGAGTTTGGGGTGGAGAAGGTTTTTGAAGTGCAGGGGAAAAAAAACTGAGTGAACCAAGTGAGTGAAGTGTCCTGTGCGAGTGGACTGACAGGAAGCAGAGTTGTCCAGCGCTGAGGGTCTTGGGGCCGTTCTGGTCTCAAGCTGTTCACTGGAGCCTGCCACCAAAATGCCAAGTACGAAGTCGAACCCCCATATAAAGACCAAAAAGATCTTGCATAAGGCATAAGGCTTCATTCAATTGGCACTGTTTGCCCATGCACCTGATCCTTGCGCTTGATCCTGCCCAATCCTGTCGCTTCAAAGGTGTCAGCTCGACATCATCCATGCAAATGTGGCTCGGATTTGGAAGCTCTCCACGGCGCCAGACTCGTGCCATATTGCTGTAGATGTCGCTGACAGTCACTACTATTATTTTTAATGAACTTGTTGCCAAGAGTGCCTTAAGTTACAGCACGATGAAGTGTATACCCACATTTTCCAAGATGTCACCCATGAACTAATTACGCTGCACTACCAAAACACTTCCATTGGGCACCTGTTGGAAGGTCCACCACAGTAGTTTGTGTGATCAGCTCCGCAGGCAGTTATGAAAGCAGCTGCGAGCAGTTGGAGGGATGTGCTTCAACTTCTCACGAGCTTTCAGCAGAGGCAACTCGAAGCCAATGAGTCTTGGCTGCCTCCTGCCATTCAACATGGTCAGGACGTCCCCCCCTTGCCCGACTACCACTAGGCAGAGGAGTCCGGGTTTGGGGCTTTGTCCTTTGTAGTTTCTCTTTTGGGCACCATTGATTAGCAAACAAATGGCAAGGCTAGGGCATCCTTCTTCGTTGTTTGGAACCTGTCTCGTCGCATGCGTGAGTGCAGGGCCTGGAATCATACAATGAACTGGCTGCATGTAGCCACAGAATTCTTGTCAGAGCAACACGAGAGACTTTGGCCAGATAAATATTTTCCCTATTAGACCATTGTGGGATATAGATGATATGGCAATTTCCAGGTGAGTCATGCTTCTTCTGCAGATCAACCCAAAAGCCCCAGGTCCGAAGCTTTGTCACAAAAATGGCGGCGCAAGCGAGTGGAGAAGAAGTCCTGTGGGCAGAAGTCTTGTGCCACGGCGGCGGAGAAAAGCACTCCATCGTTTGCATCGTGTACTGGAAGTATGCACTATATTGAAAATATACATCACTTTGACTCCGAAATTCTTCAGAGGTGTTTCGCCCTCTGCAACCTGGATCGAACTGGTGATGTTGGACACCATTCTTTTTGACCCTGACCCTTTGTCGCACTGCAGGCTCACAGAGTGTGTAAGACATGGATTCGGGCTGGGCATCAACTCGATTGCTTTCTTTGCTTCCATGTCATAAATTGCCCACACCAGCTCTATGGTATTAGGATGCAAATAGGTGGAGGCCATCGCAAGTAGGTTGGAGGCCATCGCTACTAGTGGCAATGAAGCTAGTTGTAATTGCCCACAGCTTGACTCCAGGGTCCTGCAGCCATAGTGCTCAGCTTGGGACATGCTGGCAGAAGAAGGTCCACTGCAGGAACCCTCCCAGGCCTCCGGTCAAAAGCACAGTCCAGTGCCTTGCCCCGTGGTCCATTTGCAGACCAACCAATCCGCGATCGAGTCTGCCTTGGCAAACCCAATGAGCTCGCTTCAGTGCCTCGGCCCACGCCCCAGGCAAGACCTCGGCGGCCTGGCCGAGCGCCGGATCGACGTCAACGACTTCTGCCGCAGCGCCGCCCTCCGTGCGATGGCGAGTGGGCAAGCATGGCGACGTGCGACCCTGGGCGCCAGGATTGGATGCGATCTCCGCGGGTTGAATGGCTACAGTTATATCTTTGTTAGACTCATGTATGTCAATATAACTTTTATGAATACGTGAGAATGCTGTGTCATTTGGTTTCTGAAAGGCATCCGTGTATGTCAGCCATGAGGTACCTGTGATTCTTACCGTTACGGTTTTACTTGCTCACGTTGTTCGCTGCAGGGAGATGGCAAGTCCAACACTTGCCCGCAAGTCTGCGAGCTCCCACCACAAAGAAGAGGGGACGCTAGACCTGTGTTTGTGTATAGCAAGGTCTCATCCACACCTCCCCGAGAAGTAAATCGTCATAGATTTTCCTCCCCCAATGGGTCCACGATGGGTCCGACTCCGCCATAGCAGCTCTGAGCTAAGCCAGCAGATTGTATATAAGGACCTTGACACTCCAAGCTGCGGCCGACGTTGCATGCTTCAATGCGGCCATCTCCGGAATGCCATGGACTGAAGTCATCGCCCTGCTTGGCCACATGGACTGAATCATGGGATGGGACTGGATCAGAAGACTGAAGGAAAGCTGTTTGATCGAGAATTCATGTAACTGTATATCCTTGAGGGAGCTTGACATTTTCCTGAAAGAAGCCACAACAGAAAGGTGTTGAAACGCTTTTTCGGTGCACCTGCAAAGTTAAGCATTTCAGTGGGATGTGTGCAGGACTGGGCGCTCTTGCAGAAGGACCTTGTCACATACGCCACTATTTTGCGCTCTGGAGCAGGGGCCGCTTTCCAGCAAAAGAATTGGGAGGTCGCACACGTCGACAACATAGTTCAGTGTGTTTCTCAGATGTGCTCGGCAGGCACAGGTCTACCAGACCCTTGTACCCACTATCGTATATCCTATTGTAACATGAGTCCGGGATTGATTAAAACCAACAGCGTGATCCCAAGGAAGATGCCTTGGCTCAATCAAGTGGACATTCTTGGCGGCATTTGGGCGTCACCACACCTGGATTCAGGTATCAAAGCAAGCTCAGAGATTCTCCACAAACTGAGCTTGTGGCCTCCACCGGTGGAAAAGGTCGGAAGTGCTGATCTTCCGACATGTTCATTTGTTTTTGTGGGGGGGCCAAGGTAAAGTGGCCAGGCTCCATTCTTCTACTCCAAGACCTTCTGCAGCACAGTACCAGGCTTGGTCGAGTTCACCTGAATTGCTTTGGCTGGCTGGCTGGCTGGCTGTGACACTACAAAATCAGAAGGGAGTAGTGTAACTTTTTCTTGCTGAGGATGAGTTGCGTGAACTGTTACAGGGTTCCTTGACAAGAGGGACGTTGACGGCCAACACCGGGCTAGAGGCTAGAGCCTCCGAGATTGTGTTCAACGAGAAGGCTTCTCTCAGGTGTCAGGGAGAAGATTTCTCGTGAAGGGCCTTCTTTAATCCCAAAGACTCACTGTAGAGGCTTCCCTGTTTTACTTAATGATTATTCAAGGGCTTGCGCCCGACAGCTGGCCAGGGTCCTCCACATAGGTAAGGGATAGAGGAGGGAAAGGATAAGGAGGAGGAGGAAGTGTTGGTGTGGGGGTTGTAGTTGTATGGAGTTGTTGTGGAGGTGGAAGGAGTTGTAGTGGCAGGAATTGCCGTGGTCGGTGGTTGCGTGTGGTGTGGAATCGAGGCAGCGGAGGAATATAGTGGAAAGGATGAACATTGTTGAAAAGGTGTGAAATAAATAGACCAGGGTGCTGCAGGGTTTCGCAGCCCAATGAGCCAGATACCAGATCGGCGGAGACGGTGCGGTCACTGAGACAGTGCAGCGAAACAGCCTATGACGAGCCTGGAGAAGCTGAAAGGGTGAGACGCCCGTGGCCCGGTACGCTAGGTTTAAAGGGATGAACCAGTAACCAACTGTCGGGTATGTAACGTTGAGAAGAAGCGGGATAAAATGGAGCAGCTAGGCATGGCACCAGCGGATGCGTTGATTCGATCTCGTTGAAAGGGAAGTTGAACTGGTTGGATGGATACGTGAGGTTTCAGGTCTAACTTGAGTGGAATGTGCAACTGACGTGTTCAAGTAATAAAGCTTGCTCCTTGGGTTTCGCTTGTTTGACCATCGCCGCTCTTCGGTTATACATTGTTCGCGGTGACAAGATAGCCTTAATGAAGGAGCAAACGCTGCCACTCTACTCGTTCCCTGGGCGTGTCCCATCGCGGTTCGCACTAGGCAGACGTTGGAATGCTATGCAGCTGTTTTTTTCTTGCTTCTACCCCCGGTGCTCAAGGTTTCCGTACTGAAGGGTTAGGCCTGCCAAGCAGTGTGTGCCAGAATGCGCAAGGTCAAGGTCGGATGAAAGCAAGGCACACCGATGTTTGTGGACTGGAGACCGCACACAGTGCAGGTCAAGTCGTGGCACTTTTGTATACTGGCCTTCACAAGAACATGTTCCTGCCGGTGCCCTTGTGGCTAATATAGCAGTCGGTTCACGCGCTAGGCCAGTGGTATGCTTTCCGCGGTGGTAGCAATGTGTGTACGCGATGCGACAGACGGTGGATGGGCTGGGGTGTGGGGGTGCGGTGGGGGTTAAACGCTTGGTCCTACAGTAAGAATAATAAGTTTATGTGCTCCGCAAGGGCTAGGTCTAGGTTCTGAGTTGATGCAATTTGCCGCCGGCTTGGTGGCAGCAGACCCTCGTCTTGAGCGCTGCGAAAAAAAGAGGTATCCATGTTAGGAACAAAAAACATACAAAAACCACATACTGTAATTGCGAGCAAAACGCGGCCCATGTTGCCTGCCAATAAGACATAGTGGAGAATCGTTCGGGTCGTTAACACGGCAGTGAGGTAACACTTTTTGTTTGAATCCCGGTGGAACTGCAGTCTCAATGGAAACTCGTGTTTGGTGCACCGTGGAACAATCCTTCCTCCACAAACAGCCAGCATCAACATGTTCAGTTTTCAGCCCGGCGGGATATTTGTATATCTTGCTTGCATCAGCCCTCCCTGCTTGCGTATTGCAGCAGTCGCAGTGATCGTAGAAGCATGGGACGGGTGAGTTAGGGCCAGTTCCCTAGTCGATGCTGTCCGCAGGCCGCATGAGAGCATCGTGGCAGGCATCCTCAAAGCTGTTGGTGGGCATGTCCACAGTGCCGCGCTGCAGCTGCTGCGGGACATGCGCGCGGCCAGCTGTGAAGACAGAGACTCGGACCCGGCAACGCACCGGAAGGTGTCTTTAAGTGGTGGATGGTAGACGATGACCAGAAGGAAATAGATAGAAATAGTATGAAATAGTAAGTAAATGCATTTTCCAGTTTATTTCGAGCACATTTTTCGGGATTAAGAATTCCAGCCTTCCCTTCCCTTTTGTGTGAGTTCGCCCTCCTAAGCACAAAGGAGACGAGCACTTGGAACCTTTTTGAGTGGAACAAGTAATGCACTCCTGGCCAGGTTAGATAGCAAGTGCTCAGCACATCTATCTTGAGTTCAGTTATATTGTTATTAAGTCTATTTTTTACAATTATTACAACTGTCTCGATTGATTCCGTCCTTGGGGAGTCGGGTTTTTGGGTTGTCTCTCATTGGGTTTTCTCACAGTAGTAGGACTCGGGCTCTAGGATCATTTAAGGTTCCAAACTATTGGCCTAGCTGGTCTTGCTGATTTTTGACATACATTTCAACAAATCACGTGTCCCAGATCCAATCATTGCCTGCGAAGGATGTCTCAACCACATGCATGAGGGTCATCATCGTGTAATGACATCAGATGACCAAGGGACTACCAACACCAACCATGTTGGATGATTTATAGACCCCTGACCATTGTGGTTTTCCATCCAATATAGCCATGCTTTGGGTGGCCCTGGTAGTTACTTAGTTCATCCACCTGTTTGTGGGCACTCGTCCGTTTGACCATCCGATTCCACCGCTGTCTCTGCTGGTTGCTTGTTTAGGCTTGAGCATCTACAATGCCCTGATGGGAGCAACGTCTGAATGGCCAACCTCCCTGGAGTTCTTGCACAGTCTACCAGGACGCCAACTCCAAGCAGATACCACCAGCTGGAACTTAGCCACCTGGCGAGCCACAAACAGAAGCGAGAGAATTGTTCCAGCCACCATTTCCATGTTCACTTCCATGTCCATCTACCAGTGGAATTACTGTCGTGAGCGCCCCTCTTCAATTGCAAAACGCGTGTTCCGGCAAAACTGCAAACTCATCAACAAAACGTCCGCAAAATAAGGAGCTTTTGCATGTTGGCCACAATCGTCAATTTGTGTTGGGGCATTTCTTGAAGATTTTTTGGCGCCGCGGGACATACCAAGTTTTGTTGACCGGTTGCTGCAGCCTTTGAGCACTCACACACTGTTGATTGCAAAACATCTCTCACTAATTACTGTACCAACAGGTTACAATTTACATCAACTTCAACTTACAAGAAGTGGTTGTTTCGAGCCGAAAAGTCTGCATCAAACCTGACTATGTTGACTAAGACCCCTTTGGCTCGGAAGCTAGCTGTGGCACAGGTGGCTATACGAGCCAGTGCTGCTGGAATCAGCACCAGTTCGAGTTCAATGGTTTGGCGCTTGGCAAATTCTTGCCTTCCCCACTGCGATGGTGTTGGCTATACTGCCCTGCTTGCTTCAAGAGATGGCTGCCCTTGGAGAAGGACATGGACGGTGCATGGGCTGACGTCAAGCGCTGGAGTGTGGGACATTGTCCGTGTGAGTGTGTGCTGATGGAGTAGGAAAGAACGTGGTTCACCAAGTGTGTCGTTGAATCGTCTCCCTAAAACAATCATGGAAGTGGAACACAGGCCGCCAAAAGATCAATTTTCCTCTACAAGGGGGGTTGCTCAGCTTCTCCATGATTGTTTGAGGGGGGTATGGAATCAGGCATATTTTTGGTGCTTCATTCTCGCCAAGCATGAATGCACAAATGCACAAGCGCTATTGAATAGCCTCCTGATGCATCCTGAGTTCTAACTACTGGCGTTTTTCCTCTCTCGCTCACTGCCTGTGTGCAACTTCGCATGAACTATGTCCTGGGCATGAGCGATTCTACCCCTGCTCCATCCTGCATGTTTAGACTAGAATACCTCCAACACCCATCCTTCCTGGGTGGTCATTCCGAGAAGTGCCAATTGTCCTTCAGGTCCTGCAGCAGCTGCAGCTCAACGGCTTGCAGCTGACTAACGAGGCCCTCCATGCGGCGATGGCCAGTGGTCACGGCGGGTGGCGCTTCAGCCTGGAGCTCCAGGGTTTCGTCCACCGGGCCAGTAGCTGGGCAAGGTAGGGCTCGTGGAGAAGAGGGTTGGATGAAGGGATGCTCACTTCACAATCATCGATGACAGCCAATGGTGGAGTTTCTTGTTCTTCCTCATGGTGATGATTAAGATTCTTGTTGGCATGTTTGCCTGAACAGGCCGTGGGGTGGTAGTGGTGACGGGTACCTTTTCTTTGTCCGGAGACTCTACCGAAGTGGATGACTTGCCGGTGGAGAATTCCCCCTGGCGCCCCTGCCTGTCGAACCGAGGCATCATCAGCTTCGGTTCGCTGCTGAAGGTGTGCAGGGACCAGTGGCTGCACGCCTTGCACTTGCTCAAGAGACTTGCAGAAGTCGAGGCGAACGGAGCAAAGATGATGATGATCACGATGATGGCAACAATGATCAACAATGATAACCATTGATGATGATGATGATGAGGAGGAGGAGGAGGATGAGGATGAGGATGAGCAGGAGGAGGAGGAGGAGGAAGTTGAGGATGCTGGAGAGTTGAAGAGAGGAAGAGTAAGAAGGGAAATAGTTGCAAGCAAGCAGGAAAAACATGCTGGCCGACCCTGAAGCCCCCGCTGTAACGGAGGCTGACCCACGGATGTGGACCCATGGATGTTTGACTCCAAGTGCCAAGTCCGAGGACGACCAAAAGTCAATTGGACCCTAGTAGCGTCCTTGCTCCTAGTAGCGATGCCAGGAGCCCCTAGTAGCGAACATTGCTCCTAGTAGAGCCCCTAGTGGAAACTCACGTGTTGTACTCTTGGGAGCCGCCCAGCTTTTGGGCAGGGCTGCTGTGGTGCCTTAGTCCTTGACAAAGTCTTGGGAGCCATCCAGCTTCGTCAATCTGCCATGTGGTCAGGTCGAGTGCAATGCCATTGCTTCCAATGCAGCCTTGAGCGCGTGTGAGAGACCTGGATGACCAAGGACTAAGACCTACCTGTTGTTCCATGTGCAAAAGGCCCAGTTGTTTGTTTTTTTCATGTACAAATAGCCCTGTGGCTCCGTCCATGCCCTTTCAGGTGCTTCCTTCCAGTGTGGTCCATGCCAGTGTATTAAAGGGCATGGACGGAAGCACCTGAAGCAAGATCATGAACCTAGTATGCTCAACTTTTTCTCAACACGGCACGTTCACCCTGGAATTGGGTGACGGGAATTTTTTAGGCTTTCTCACCACAGGTTCTCAGAACTTGGAGAGGGACCTGAGGGACCTGAGATTTGAAAACGGAGGAAAGGCAGCCAATGGACCAGAACTGTGCAGCTCTTTCAATCGGCGTCGACCACGGGCATGGGGGTTCCTTGGAGCAACAGGACTGCGCGTTCGTTTGGGGAGATGGAGGTCGTATGTCTTATACTGCAGTCTGTGCAGTAGCTGTAGAGCTGATCAATGTTGTTCCGATCAACAGATGACGCTCTATGAACTGAGGTTGATGTGATTGCATCCAATGCCGTGATCAGCGCGTAGCCTGGTGCTGGCATTCCTTTTTGATGCTACGTACACTTGTTTATGTTTTTACATCTTTATCTTCCCAAAATGAATGGTTGGTTGGGTAGGGACATTTTGGGATTTGAAACATATAGGGGTAACTCCTGATCTTGATGCCATTTTGGCTCAAGATCAGGGCAGGGATTTGTTTTTCCGGGCCCCGCTATGCCTCGGATCACCCGATCGACTGCGGCGGTTTGGAACCCCGGGTCGAGAAGGTGGCGGAGGGCTCATCGCGGTGTGGACCCGGCGACGATTTCTGCCGAAGATCGAAGGGCTGACCTTGGTGCGCGGTCAGCTTACATCCTGGCTATTTGGGATACAGTGGAGCGCCGCCCGGATTTGGAGGCAGACTTCTGCCGGTGTTGTGGGGTATTTACAGCTTCTTGGTGCGAGGGCTGCTACTTCCGCCTACCGGAGAGCTTCGGAGCGGTGTGCGCGGAGTGTGATCACCTGCACTTGGTCTGTGACCGGTGCAGGTTTGATCACATTTCTTGGGAGCAAGACCATGCCGCGTTCATCGAACAAGGGGGCCAAGACACCGAGGACCAGGTCCAGATCACCGGTTGGGGTGACCGGACCAATCCACCCCATTTCGAAGCTGCCTCCAGCCAGGTCTCCATTGAGGAGGTCGCGCAGATCCTCGGAATCTCAGCCCAGCAGGCCAGAGACCTCCTCAAAGAGCAGCTGTCCGGTACCACCCAAGCAGCCTCCAGTGGATCCTCAGCGACCGGCCCTCCCTAGGCAGCCCATGCCACCACCAGGACCTCCTCCACTGCGGCTGAGGAGGCCACGGTCGCCCTCTGTGTCGCCAGGGCGTGGCCGTACTCCGGTTGTGACTGTGCGCCAGCCGGACCAGGCCATGGAGGCTGATTTGCTGGAGTTGGTGGCCGAGCGCTCGGATGAGTTGGTGCAGCTGTTTTGCCACCTGGGCGTCCAGACCTGCCAGGACGTGGTTGGCATTTGGTCCCATGGCGGCGAGTTGGTGGCAGAGCTTGAGCGCATCCAAGGCCCCCTGGACGCCGAAGAAGCATTCCAGGTTAGCGCCTTGTGGAGCATTGCTGCTCGCCGGGCCTATAATCACAACTGGCGCGTTGCCAGAGCGGTGATCGGGAACCGTGCCTCAGTCGTGGAGACCACGTCCATGGTGGTTGCACCCAAGGGTACAGGCCCTAAGGGACACGCGAGGCAGCTGCTGGAGACTGGGTTCCCAGGGCGGCCACCCATGTTGCTGGCAGCTGCAACTGCTGATCCCCATACCAAAGCTGAGGCCAAAAGGGCTACCAAGATTCAGGCCCTCTTTGATTTGTTATTGAGTGAGTTCCTCAACCTGGCCGAGTTGGGGGTGACCTGGGAAGAGTTGGGCGACCCCGTCCGTTTGCAGCAGTTCAAGGACCAGATTATGCAGTCCACCGGCCGACTCACTGAGGCGAGGATTGGTGCCCTCCTGGCGGCTTTGCGGCGCTGGCAGCGGTATGCCTCTGAGAAGGCTTTCCCCGTTGCTCAGCCAACTCCGCTCCAGTTGGGCGAATTCTTTCGTGCAGTGGCCCAGGGTGGACCCACAGCCGCATCCTCCATGTTTCAGGCATTGAAGTGGTTTCGGGTTACCTTTGGCCTCAACTTCAATACAGACCATTGGCTTACCCAACCCTTCAGGCTGCTCCCACCGGATCATCGGGTACAGCAGAGGACCGAACTACAACCCTGGGAGCTGGTGAACCTGTTATTGATGATGAAGAAAGCGTCCGGCACACATTTGCTGATTTTGACATTTTTTGTCTGGGCAGCTATTTCATGTGTACGCTTTGAACATTTTCAACGGTCGCATTACATGGAGAGCCATCCTCAATGCCTGGTTTTTGAATGCTCCCAAGGCAAAGCCCGACGGCGTGGCGCGCGGCCTCCGTATTCGTGGGCTATGCCAGAATTGGAGTTTCAAGGGCTCAGCATCCATCGTATTGTCCGGGACTTCGTGACCATGGAGTTGAACCCCCAGCTGAACTTCCTGTGGCCGGCCCTCCAGCTTAGCTCAGATGATCTCTGGGAGGTCACTGAAGGCACGGCATGGCTGGTAAACAGGAAGATGTCGCGGGGTCGTTTCCTGGAACTCCTGCGGGGCGCCCTCATCACCATGCAGGTGGACCACGCCCAGGCCCGGGGGGCTGGTTATAACAGGCTGCGCCGGTTCTTGCCAACTATGGGTATGGTATGTGGCTTGCAGCCCTCCAACCAACAGGCCATTGGCAACTGGCAGGAGGTTCCCAGTGCAGGAGGTCCTGAACCTGTTCGCAAGAGCAAAGCAGTATGGTCGATGGGCCTTCACTATGCCGGGCAGAAGGTCTTGCATTCGGCAGCCGTCAAGCGAGCGTTGATTCAGCGGTTTCTCCATCTACTGAGGCGCAAGCTCCCTGAACTGGCCCTCAATGCTGATGGTCTCGTGGCCCGTGACGCCTGGACCTGGCCTGAGCTCGCTCAGATGAACGAAAGTTTTGGGCCCTTGGAGGCGGCGCTGATGACGCCTGAGGTCCAACCTCCTCCAGAGACACCGCCGGTGACGGCGCCTGAGGCCCCCCCCTCCTGCAGACACACTGCCTGAGGAGGCCTCGGGAAGTGCCTTGCCTGTGGCAGGCCCCAAGGAGGAGATCCCGGCTGAGGAGGCTGACCAGATCACTCCGCCGGAGGAGGCTGCCGATCCGGAGGCCCAGTCCGCATCGTCTTCGACTACTTCATCGTCCGCGTCGGACTGTTCGGCCATGGGTAGTGACTTGGAAGGCGTCCTGGCAGAGGAGGCGGCTATCACAGAAGCCAAATGGTTCGTCCAAAGCCGCCGAGTTCACATCGTCAGTGGAGTGCTGGATGAGCGCCAACTGCCCTACTGCCGGGATTCGCCCTTCGCCCAAGATCCCAAGAGCCAGGGAGAGGGCTTTGGATTGGTTGTCCGAAGCCAATTCTGCCAGCGGTGCCTGGCACGCATGCCACGAGGCCTCTATGCCTCCTTGGCTGACCAGTGCGGATGGTTGCACTGAGTGTATAAAAAGCTGAGGGACCAGAGGTGCCGTGGGGTGCGGGGGCGGGGGGTCGACGTGCGTCTACATGGGGGTCGAGTTTGATTTTGCTCACCGACCTTTTTCCGACGTCGTGTTCCCGGTCGACCTTTCTGATTGTGGTGCCCCCACCCCTGTTTCCCCCCCTCGGGGTAGGCTTGGAGGGGCACCTTTTGGGTCTGTGACCTGGCTTGGCCTCCTCCGGGGTGCCACCAGAATGGGGTGGGTATCGAGGTGTGTTCGGCCGCTCCGACGGGCAGGGTGGTGGGTCTGGGACCTCCACCTGTGGTGTTCGCTACGTCGCAACCCAGCTCAGGGCTCAGAGGGTCGTAGCTAGAGTACGCACGCGATTCGATTGTGGTACCCCTACGGCCATGAGCGGTTCGAGGCGTATCGATACCTACCAGGATGACAGGGGACTGACGACATGCTTCGCTGGAGCCAACATCCTGGAGGAGTGGAAGAGTGAGTTGGTTCATGCCCACAAGTGGGAAACGTTGGAAGATTTTGTCTACTACTTCAACGAGACCGCCATGGAAACGTCCTTGGATCAAGTCCTCCAGCCGACCAAGATGAAAGACAACCGGTTGTTGCGAGCCAGGCTGAAAGCGGCCCACGCAGCTGGCCTTGAGGCCATTCGTGCAGCCGCTGCGGAGGCAAAGCAGCCGGAAGCTGTGGATGAGACACTCCCAGAATCCACCATGCAACAACTTCACAAGGACTTTGCCGCCAAATACGGTGTGGTGTTGGATGCGTTCTTGGAACCATCCGACGCCCTTCGGTCCCGTATTTACAGGGAATTCCGCAAAAGGACAATGTCAGTCATCAGTGTGGCCAAGGTCCGATCCATCCTCCACCAGTCGGCACCCAAGCAACAGGAATCAGTCCGCCTGGGCGCGGGCGTCCAGCTTGAGTTCGCAGCCGACGATCATCGTATTGCGCGAACCGTGGTGGAGTACTATTTCTCCCTACGTACTTTGGCTTATGCCTGGGCGTGGGGAGGTTTGTACAAGGTATCTGACTTCGATGGCAATGAGAAAGTCTTCATGCCCCTGGCCCCAGCGATGTCTTATGCAGATCAAGCCCTCCAATTCACTATGGAGTTCGGGCAGGGTAGCCTGATTTGGCTGGAGCGCAATGATATCAACACACGCTCCAAGATGGCTTCCCTCATCCGCCGTGGCTACACAGGTGCGTCCGCCTTGGAGGAGGCCTTGCGCCAGACCCATATTGACTGGCGCGCCCCGGGAGTTCAGCCCACCTTGCCTGAGGCAGGTGCCTCCCCGAAGCGCCGCTTGGCGGAGAATGATCAGCCGCAAGAGAAAGGCCCAGCAAAGGAGAGGCGCCTGGTCAAGACGGACAAATGGCCTACTATCTCTATGTTGAAAGGGGGTCAGAAGATTTGCAAGCCCTTCAACGACGGGCGTGGCTGTACCAAGGCGGGCTGCAAGGACCTTCATCAGTGTGATGTCAAGTTGAGCTCCGGGAAAGCCTGCCTGGCCAGTCACACCCGGCTCCAGCATGAATAGGGACAACGCCCCCCGAGGGTCGGGGAACCCCGGGGGGGCCCAGACGAGGTGGCCTTGCGTGTGCAGCTTCCGGCCAGTTCGACATCTTCTGAGGCCCACCGCCGTGTGATCCTGCGACCTGATGGTCACTCTGGCCATGTGACTATGGCTGACCGCCTGTATGCAGCCAAGCCTGTCACTTGGAGGGGCCAAGGGGATTTGCCGCAGTTTCCCTGGGCAAAGCCCTTCAAGGGTACTTGGCTGGTTGTGGACCTTTGGTCAGGTATTGGCGGGCTTTTGGTCGCTTTGCTGGCTATGGGAGTTCACTTCTATGCAGTGGCTGCTGAGATGGATGATGAGGCCGCCCATTGTACTCAAGTGGTCATGCCCCACGTTGTTCCTGTCACCCGGGTGGAGGACCTACGTGCCGTGGATTTCATCCCTATGCTGGTTCGCCGAGCTTTTCGGGGGGTCCTCCTGGGTGGGGGCTCCCCGTGCCAGGGCAATTCAGCCTTGAACAGGCGCCGCAAGGGACTTGATGACACACGATCTCAACAACCGCTTGAACTTCGGCGGCTTGCATCAGAGTTTGAACAGCTCCCAGCTTGTCAGGGCATGGAGATTGTCGCTTTCCTTGAGAATGTGGCCAGTATGCCCAAGCAGGTCCAACAGGCCTATGAGAACTGGTTGGCGGGGCCCCCCATCCTACTGGACGGAGGTTCCTGTGGATGGGTGTCGCGTCGACGGTTTTTCTGGCTCCGCTCCCGGCGAGGCGTGGTCAGTCCGGCCAACCCACCTCCGGAGTCGTGGCAATGGTGCACAACTACATCTGGAGTTGCGGAACTGCGGTATGCGGGAAAGAAGCCCCTGCCACCGCAAGTGTTTTGGGACGACCATTTCCTACCTCTGCTCTCCCCTCAGGCGGTGTTACAGCAGGCTGGCAAGGGCGCGATGCACACATTCACTCGGGAATTTACCATCCGGAGGACCGGGTCCCCGAGGTTAGTCCTGCAGCAGCCGAACGTTTCTATGCTGACCAGCGCCGTTTCCCTCCGGGGGCCTATGAAGAGCACTCACTTTTGTGGCACGGGAAGCAATGGCGCCAACCATCTCCTGCTGAGCGCTGCCAGATGATGTGCTTGCCGCCAGCACTGGTAGCTCCTGCTCGGGGAAATCAGGTCAAGCGCACCCAGGCACAGAACTCATTCATTGGTAATGGCTTCCATATTCCTTGTGTGGTGGCGCTCATGGCTATGCTACCTAGTATTTTGGAGGCCAAATTTGTACCTTCGTTCACCTCCGCGGAAGAAGCAGCATTGCGGGATAGGTTGCAACACACGGTCTGGGAACCAGGGCGCCTGGACGCTATGCCCGGTCTGTTGACCGCTACCGAGGTATGCCTCGATCTGCGGATCCAATTCGCGTTTGCGGACATACCAGACAGTACTTGGCACCAGGTCCTTGCTCGGTTGCAGGCCTGTGACCTGGCGAGTCTGCAAGCATATCCTATGTGGAGGCGGCTTCGGCAAGAACCGTGGGAAGTGCTGGGACCGGTCCCCATTTGGGGGCGCATGCGAACAGCTATCTTCGCTGGGCTGACCGGCCAACGCTACCCAAGCTCCTCGGCCAAGGGCTTGGACCATCTCTTGCCCCCGGGGTTGGGCAAGGATGAACATGTGGCACAGGCCAGGCAACTCCCGTCACCTTTCCATCCGTCTGACTGGCCTGAACCTGATGTATCCTTTGTGGTCCAGGCACTGGGTGTCTGGCAGCAGTTTCTCCCAGTGTACAGCCAAAGGCTGAGGCGCACTTTGAAAGCTGTGGAAAAGCTGTGCAACTCCTGAACCCGTGTCTTGCGGCCGTAAGGTCTACTAGTTCCAACAAAGTAGCGCATACTAAACAGCCTGCTTTTGTTGCAACCATGGCATGCCTTCTGCGATGGCCGGACCGTGATATGGCCCGCCAACTCGTCCAGGGGTTCGCTATTGTTGGGTCCCTTCCGCCGTCCGGGGTGTTCCGAGGTATTCAACAAGCGGACAAACTCCCTTTGGCTGATTGGCTGGGTCCATCAGCTGAAGAGGAAGTCCAGCGGTTGATCCGTAGTCGACCCCCCCTGCATGCTCCAGAAATTTTGGCAGTTACTCAGGATGAGATCCTCAAGGGTTTTTGCAGCCCACTGCGAACCATGCAGGAGATGAACGATCTATTTGGTGTGGGTGGCTGGCGCGCTGTGGAACGTTTCCTTATTATTCAACCTGATGGTAAACAAAGGGTCATTGATAATGCCCGAAAGAGTGGCCATAACCGTCATACATCCATGCAAGAAACCATTTCGACCGTTAATGTTGACTTTGTTGCATCCGTAGCGCGCATGGTTAATACCGTTTTGGAGACCCATCGGTCCGACCCTCCTGATTGGCTTGATTTACGGTTGGGCACGGATGACCTGCCCGATGCCTATCGAGGCCTGCCGGTCCAAGATGACCATTTGCGGCTTTCCAATGTGGCCATTTTCGTCCCCGACGAAGGCTGGCGGTTTACCACCATGTATGGACTCGCCTACGGGTTAGAGAGTGCGGTGGTGAGCTTCAACCGGTTCCCTCAGTTGGGTATCGCGATTGCAAGACGCTGTACCCTCTCTTTTTGTGCTGCATACTTTGATGATGAACTTGCGGTTGATTTTGTTCACCATGCGGATGTCTCGCAGCGCGGACTCCAACTTGTGTTCCAACTCTTGGGAGCACCACCGCAAGCATCCAAATCTTTCGCACCTGGACGTAACCGTCATTACCTTGGTACTTCAGTACATGTTGGCGACTTTGTGTCTATGGGAGCGATCAGATTCCAACCCAAGTTCACCACTCAGAGGAAGGTTTTAGCTAAAATTCACTTGGCGCTGGCTACCAACAGTCTGTCGCCGGACGACGCTGGAAAGCTCAGAGGGGACCTCAACTGGATGTTTAGCATGTGTGCCGGTCAGGCAGGGCGGATCGCGGGACCCACACTCACTGCGTTGCAGCATGCTGACTCCCCTACTCTCTCCCCTGAGGAGTCCGTTACCTTTCAGCTCTTAGCAGCGTTGGTGACCTGCCCAGGGCCTCGAGATGTAGCTGTGCGGGCTCTCCCTCCCCAACCAGTCCTTGTGTACTCGGATGCGTCCTTTGAACATGGGGTCCTCCGCGTCGGCTGGGTTGTCTTCGGTCAGTCGTCTCGCCCCCAGGGACTGACATGTGTCGTCCCACAAGAGGTGATTGAGTCCTGGACCGATCGTACACAACAAATTTACCCTGGTGAGACACTGTGTGGGCTCTTGGTACCATGGTTTCATGGAGCAACCTTACACCACCAGGATCTCCTATGGTTCATCGATAATGAAGCAGCTGTTGCTTCCCTCATTCGAGGATCCAGCTCCCAGATCGATGTCCATACGCTCGTCCAGGTCGCGCATTTCTTGTTCCAAAGATTTCAAATTCGTGTTTGGATCGAATGGATTGACTCTGAGAGCAACCCTTCTGATGGTCTATCACGAGATGGGGTTAGTGATTCTTGGACGAGGTCACAACCCTGGGATGTGTCAGAGGTTAGCTACCCGGATCCCCTCCGGTCCGTGTGTCACCCTGCACACCTTTCACGTTTTTTAGAGTACATGGACAGTGGGTGATTGATACAGTGGGTGGTATGTTAAGTTCATCTAAGATGACTTTCCAAGCTGGTCCGT